TTAAAGTAATTTAAATTAAATTATTTGTATATATTCTTTTATTTGATTTGCCCATTAATATTTTTAATATTTTAAATTTTTAATTAAAAAAGATTAAAAGATATCAAAAATTGGTAATTCATGACAACATTCTTAAATTTTATGGCGTTACTAAGCAAGGTAAGATATATGTTTGCAAATAATAATAAGCGTTGATAATTAAGTTTTAATTTATTTATTTCTTTGATTCTTATAGAGAATGCCAATAATTATATGATTATTCTCGAATATGTTAATAATGGTTCTCTTCATCAATTTTTAAAAATTAATTTCCAAAAACTGGATTGGAACGCAAAATTAAATATTGCAAAACAAATTGCCAATGTTTTGGAATTTCTATATTCGAATGATATTTTTTATGGAAAATTGGTACATTTTCTTATTTAAAAATAAATTACACAAATGGAATTTTTTTTAATTTTTTTATTTTATAATTCAATTAAAATCCTGGAAATATTCTTATTCATAATAGAATCATTAAATTTCATGTTTTTGGATTAACGAAAATTTTGCCTGCATCTTTAAGATTCCCTACAAATAATCTCGGCCCAATTCAATATATTGACTCTCAATATTTGGAAAATTTAAACATAATTCGTAAAAGTAAGAGTTCACATATTTTTAGTTTGGGAATTATTCTATGGGAAATTTCTAGCGGCACTCCTTTTGAAATGGAATCTTTGTCAAACGTTGATTTGTTGAATAAAATTATAAAAGCAAAAAGAGAAATGGTTATACCGGGAACACCTCTTAAATATAAAGAAATTTATACTGGTATAAATTTATAACATTTTATTTAAACTATTTATATCTATTACACACTGAAAATTAGATAATTAAATCTATTTAACAGATTGCTGGAAACACAATGCAAATTCACGACCAGACATTTCTCAAGTGATTAAAAATCTTTCCAAAATAATTATCTCTGATGAAATTGAAACTCCTCAATCACAACTTCACAATGTTACAGTTGAAATTATTTCTAAAAAATTAAATAAGTGAGTTACATTTTTTATATTATTATTCGTTTTTTGAATCTCTGAAATATTTATTAATTATAAAATTCCCTTTATTTAGACAAAATGAAGAACTAAAAGTTCGTTCAGATCTTCACTTTGTCAATAAATCAGCAGAATTTGAAGTTTTTATTATGGAGTTATTTAAATTTTTTTTTGATATCATTAAAAAACAATTTATAGATGTGCAACCAATTATGATGAAAGATTATATTAAAGAGCATAAAAAGAATCCATCTAAAGTCCTATATGAGATGATTAGCAATCTATCGCATTCTTGGTTTACCAGCTTGATAGGATTTTTTTACATGAATGATATTGGAACTGTTACTGATTACCAAATGGCATTTAAGTTCTTTAGTATAGCTTCAAATGAAATAATTGATTCCTCCTCCAATTCTTCATCCTTAATAAAACTATACAAGATTAACAAAGAAATTGGAACCATGCATATTGCAGATATGTATTTCTTTGGCAAAGGCGTTGAAAAGGATGTAAAAAAGGCATATCCGATTTATTCTAAGCTTGCTAAGGAAGGGTCCTTCATTTTAACTTTTTCTGAAGTTGCAAGTTATTATAGAAATGGATTTGGTATTAAAAAGAATGAAGAAAAAGTATTTAAATTATATTTAAAATCTGCAGAGAAAGGAATTCTTGTAGCACAAAGTAGAGTTGGCTGGTGCTATATAGATGGAATTGGAATACCAAAAGATGCAGCTAAAGGATTTCCATGGTTTATGAAATCGGCTCTTTCTGGAAATGTTGGGGCAATATGGGATGTTGGGTATTGTTATAGCAATGGTATAGGTGTGGATAGAAATTATCAAAAAGGATTTGAATGGTATTTAAAGGCAGCTGAAAACGGAGATTTTACGGCTCATTATGAATTAGGATATTATTATAAAATGGGTTATGGGGTTAATGAGAATCAGATGAAAGCATTTGAATGCTATAAGAAAGCTGCGGAATGTAATTATGTTTATGGCCAATACGAGGTAGGGAAATGCTTTTCTGAAGGACGTGGAACTAAAAGAGATATTGTAAATGCTATCTACTGGTTAAGCAAAGCAAAAGAAAATGGGAATATTAATGCTACTAGGCTATTAAATGAAATAATAGACAACATAAGATGAAATAGTTTTTTAATTAAATATTTCTTTATTGTTAAAAATTTTTATTGTTAAAAAGATTATGGCATTAATAAAATTTATTTTTTGGTAAGTACATTTCCTTATTCAATGAGGTTATAATTTATATATAAATTTTAAATTTCGTCTATTTGTTGACAATGTAGAATTTGCTAGTAATAATTTATCTAATAATCTGTTATTTTAGTTAAGATTTATTGATAAAAAAAATAAACATTTGTAATTTCTGATAGACAAAAAAAAATAAATAAATACCAATTTACCTTTTACATTTGAATGTAAACTGTTCTATAAATTATATTACATTAATGAAATAAAAATAAAATTTTGAAGTTTTAACTCATTATTCATATAAAACAATTTACATCAAAGCATAAATCACTATGTTTCCTTTTTATTTATTATTTTTCAAAGTGGTTTTTTTTTAAAAAAAAATAAACTTCTACTACAAGTGGACAAAAAAAAGCTATATGTACAGAATTCTATCAAAGATATTCTTGCTTAAAATTGTGCGAGCCTTACAACTTAACACGTTTCAAAAAATGAATTTGGTAAATGGACAATGTGGAAATGATGTAATAGTTCTTGGTTCATTCATCAAGATTATGTCGGACACATCATAAACGAAATAATTTGCAAAAAATCGAAGAAATAAAATTTGGGACTACATCGTCGAGTTGAGAAAAGACAATATTGAAGATTCTCCAAGAGAAGTAAAATCTGAGCTATCAAAAACACGGTTTTGATACTTTGCAATAGTATCATTGGATATGATTTTTAATTTTTTAAAGTAATTTCTTATAAAAATAAATGATAAATATAAGAAGAGTTTTTGATTTGTTGATTAATTCTAAAGTTGAAATCAAACACTAAATCATATCATAAATAATTTTGTTTCATAATTTTTTAAATCAACAATATCCTCCATAGATGTATCTAAAAATAAAATAAAAAATAATATACCAGTATTTATGTTATTTTGATGATAACTTGTCTGAAGAATAACATTAAAAATTTGAATAAAAATGCTTGACTTGATAATTATTTTAAAATTTTTTCATTTGGCTGAATATTTTCTAATTCTCTTTGGAAAAAAGACGATCAGTTGGAATATGCCATGAATGATTTTTCCTTATTTCAACTTCGATTATAATCAATTTTATCGTTAAGAAGTTCAATAAGATTTTTGAGATAACCTACAAACCATTTTCTTTTTGTAAACTCTGTTAAAAAAAAGAACACAAGCATCATCATTACAATTATATTAAAAGATACAATAAGAATCTAGTTGAAGTTCTATATTAAATGATTTGCTATCCATTACATTCTTTGAATTTTTAACCGTATGATATTTAATGAAAAAATAATTTCTGAATATCGAAGATTAAAAGAAGAATGTTTAGCAGAATTTTATAGAAGGTTAAATCTATAAAATTGATAAAATAAGGATGAAATGTAAATGTAACACCTGTTGCAAGTAACAACTTCGAAAAATAGGGCTGGTAATTTTCAAAATATTTTATTTTTAAATTTATTTTCTAACATAGCTTATTTTTTACTTCGTATTAAGTTTTTTTGATTTTTTTAATTTAAAAAATATTTTAATTAACTTGACAAAAACCAATAACTTGAGTAGATACATTTCTGAACAAAAACATAATTATACTATCTTGGATTTGCAAACTATAAATCGTTAGATTAATAAAACATAAAATAGAATGTTTAACCATACCAAGAATCATACTTATCGCGTCCATTTTTTCAAAAATTAAAAAATTAAAATTTCAAAATTACCTGCTTTCAGCACCAACGTAACACCACATCAATTAATAAATATAGTTGTAAAAAAAATAAAATAATTAAAAAAATAATAAATTAAAAGTTTTTTATTTATTCAATTTTTTCTTCGAAGTTAAACCAATTTAAAATACTAAATTTACAAGTTTAACGTCTCATCTATTTTTCAAATATGCAAAAGAGCTATTTATTTAAATCTTTCCTTTATTTTGTAGAGCAAAATACATAAGTAACACTGGTCAAATACAAAAAATCGCTGGCTAAAATCGTCAACAATTGGAATTCTAAATTATAATCAGCTAAAATTTGACAAATCGACATCCAATTTTGTCCTATTCTTTCCTATTCATGTTGACTTTCTTTTACACTTGACCTGTGTATTTTTTTGCAATTTCTAATTCACTTTCTAAATATGTATTTATTATTCTTATAGCAGGGAAATCTCTCTTCCTTTTGGTATCAAAAATAAAAATTATACGTAATTCACTGTGAATATGTATTTATTATCAAAGATCCAAAAAGACCTTAATTAAATTGTAGTCATCAAAGGACAAATTGATCGCAAAGTGCTTTCAGCCAAAAAAATAATTTATTTTTTTATTTTATCATCCAAATTGATGCAAATTTATTTTTATTTATACGTTATAAATCTAAAAAACGAAAATTACATGGCTTTTACAAAGAACGAAATCGTGATAGTCAATTGAACAAATTGATCATATCGTAAATTGATACAGCGACTTGACTATTTTTTTAAAAATTCACGAAGATCGTTTCCTTTTTCTGTTAGGTTCACATATTGCATGTTGCAAAGTAAGATTTGTCTATTTTTTTTTTTTTGATATAATTGTAATTATTTTCTGATAGGTTATTTTTTGATACTTTAAGTAACGTGAGTAACTAATTATTCGATGGACACGAGGTTTTCATATATATGTATATCACGTGAGTAATGTTAACTAACCCTGGGTCTAGGAACGAATTTGATTAGTTTACAATGGGACAGGTGATCAAAAAGGGTTCACGTGAAATTTATGAAGGTGGGTAAAAATCAATATTCGAAGGGTGTGATATATTGTGATGAATAGCCTACCCCTGACAAACCTAACCCAATCTCATGTTTTAACATAATGTCACATGCGGGTATAGGAGAAGAGACTAGACTCCGGTGTTTAGGTTAGGATTCCCCTTTAGTTGAACTAACATAGGCATATCAAAAAAGCTTATATGGCACTAAAATTCACGTGCTACAAACTCATATCACTTGATTTTCCAGGTGTTACAAAAATTTTCATGTAACAGGCCAAAAATAATTTATAGAAATAATCGTAACACTAACTCATTTAAATTTATTATTTGGTGTGGCTAACGGCACGTTATAAATTGGCGTAATTCATTTACCAATTAAATAACCATATAATTATGTCTAAAGAAAAGTCAAACGAAAAAGAATGGGAAGTCTGGATGGACAATTTAAATATAGAAAATACTCTTCGAAAGGAAGATATCCCATTTTATCAGTATTCAGAATTTGAAGATGTAAAATTAATTAATAGAAATGTTTATAAAGCAACCTTTAAAACTTCTCAAAAAATCGTTGCTCTTAAATGCATTTCGTTAAATGATAAATTTACATTGAACAATTTTATAAATGAAGTAAGTTAAATTAAACTTATTTTGTTCTATTATTTGAATATTTTTTTACTATTTTTATTATTTTAACTGAAAAAGATTAAAAGGCATCGAAAATTGGAAATGCATGATAGTATCTTAAATATTTATAGATTACCTTTATTGGTAATTCCATAAAATCTAAAGTTTCTATACTTAATAATTTTAAATAATCATTATTCATTTATCTATTTGATTTTTAGATAATTATATGATTATTCTTGAATATGTTAATGATGGTTCTCTTCGTCAATATATAAAAACAAATTTCCAAAAACTGGAGTGGAACGCAAAATTAAATATTGCAAAACAAATTGCCAATATTTTGACGTTTTTACATTCAAATGATATTGTTCATGGAGAATTGGTAATTATTTTCATATTTAAAAATAAATCGCACAAATGTCTTATTTTTAATTTTTTTTTTATTTTATAATTTAATTAGAATTCTGAAAATATTCGTATTCATAATGGGAGAATTAAATTTGATATTTTCAGATTTACGAAAATTACGTCTGAATCTTTAAGATTCCCTACAAATACTCTTGGCCCAATTCAATATATTGACCCTCAATATTTGGAAATTTCAAACAGAATCGACAAAAATAAGAGTTCGGATATTTTCAGTTTGGGAATTATTCTATGGGAAATTTCCAGCGGCACTCCTCCTTTCGAATTGGAATCTTTATCAAATATTGATTTGTTAAATGAAATCGTAAAAGGAAAAAGAGAAATGATTACACCTGGAACACCTCCTAAATACAAAGAAATATATACAGGCAAAATTTATAAAAATATATTATTATTACTGTATATTTATTATATACAAATTAAATAAATTAAATCTATTTAACAGATTGCTGGAAACACAATGGAAATTCACGACCAGACATCTATCAAGTGGTTAACGATCTTTCCAAAATCATTATCTCTGATGAAATTGAAACTCCTCAATCACAACCTCACAATGACAATGTCACATACGAAATTATGTAAGTTTCATTTTTTATATTTTTATTTGTTTTAGAATCCCTGAAAGTATTTGTTAATTATAAAATTCTCTTTTTTTAAGACAAAATGAAGAACTAAAATTTCATTCAAATCTTCACTTTGTCAATAAATCAGCAGAATTTGAAGTCTTTATTACGGAATTATTTGAATTTTTTTTTGATGTAATTAAAAAACAGTTTATAGATATGCAACTAATTATGATGAAAAATTATATTAAAGAACATAAAAAGAATCCAGTTAAAGTCCTATGTGAGATGATTAGCCATCCATCGCATTCTTTGTTCACCAGCATGATAGGATTTTTTTACATGAATGGTATTGGAACTGTTACTGATAACCAAATGGCATTTAAATTTTTTAGTATGGCTGCTAACAAAATAATTAGCTCTTCCTTCTCTAATTCTCCGTCCTCAATGAAACAATACGATATCAACAAAGAAATTGGAGCCATGCTTCTTGCAGATATGTATTACTTTGGAACAGGCATTGAAAAGGATGTAAAAAAGGCGTTTCAGATTTATTGTAAATTTGCAAATGAAGGGTCCTTTGTTATGGCTGCTGATGTAGCAAAATGTTATTTAAATGGATTTGGTATTGAAAAGAATGAAGAAAAAGCATTTAAATTATATTTAAAATCTGCAGAGAAAGGAAATCTTATAGCCCAAAATAGAGTTAGTAGGTGTTACATTTTGGGAATAGGAACGTCAAAAGATGTAATTAAAGGATTTGCGTCGTTTAGGAAATCTGCTCTTGCTGGAAATATTAATGCAATATGGAATGTTGGGTGTTGTTATTTCAATGGTACAGGTGTTGATAGAAATTATCAAAAGGCATTTGAATGGTTTTTAAAGGCAGCTGAAAAAGGAGAACTTATAGCTCAATATTATATAGGACATTGTTATCGAAATGGTCATGGGGTTAATGTTAATCAAGTGAAAGCATTTGAATGGTATAAGAAAACTGCAGAATATAACTATGATTATGGTCAAAACGAGGTTGGAAGATGCTTTTATGAAGGACTCGGAACAAAAAGAGATATTGTAAATGCTATCTACTGGCTAAATAAAGCAAAAGAAAATGAGAATTTTTATGCCAATGCGAGATTAAATCGAATAATAAATAATATATTATAAAGTAGTTGTTAAAAATATTAGCCAAATATTCTGTAATGTTTAAAAGACTACTGCATTAAAAAGTCATTTATTGGGTAAATTTCTTGAATGTAATGACGTTATATTTTACAATTCTGTCTGTCTTCAAAGAATTTATTAATGGCTTTAAATAATTATTCATCTAAAAATTTAATAATTTAATTAATTTGATATTGATTTAATGTTGAGAAAAAGATTATTTCATTTTTGTTTTTAGTTTTTGAAATTTCATCTCTGATTTTCAAGATATTATGGAAAATTATCCTGTTTAGCAAGAAAAACAGAAAACTTCAAGCCTTTATTTTTTTTTGTTTGTAATTTCTGATAGACAAAAATTAAATGAATATAACGTAGATATTAACCTTTTACTTATTATATTGAGTCAATGTAATAATATAAATAAAAATATAATTTGATATTTTGACTCATTATTCAAATCAAACAATTTACATCTAAGTGTAAAATCAGATACCTCACTATGAATCTTTTAATTTATCATTCTCGCAGTGTGTCTTTTTTTTTTTAAAAAAAAAAGAACTTCTGCTACAAGTGTACAAATAAAAAGAATATATACAGGATGTAATAAAGAATATACTTGCCCAAAATGATGTGAAAATAACGTTTAAAATATGGAGTTGGTAAATGGAATACTTGTCATGGCTATGCTCGTACAGTTGTATCGACAAAATTTTAAGGAACTGATGAAATTATTGGAGGCGATTACCCTTTGCATGGGATAATTATAAAATTAATGGGATAGCAAAAAATAATTTTTTCAGAATAAAATTACTGAATATGCGTGAAAAATATTTGGATTTGACTTTTGTTTTATTAGTAAAATGATAGTTTGTAACAAGTCTAACAATTTTTACAAAAAATTTATAAGAATAACAAGAATTTATAGTTTTTAGAAAAAATACTTTTATTATTTATTCAATTATATGGGCTACAATAACGAGTATCTAAAATATATTATTAAAAAAAAATTTTATTTTTAAAAAAAAGAGTAAGAATTCAATTCAAAATCTCCCTGTTGAAGAGTCGAAAATGGGTATGACGATGCCAATGAGATATTAAATGAAATAATAAATAATATAATATAAAATAGTTTAGTTATTAAAAATTTTGGTTAAATATTACGAAATATTTAATATAAAAAATGCATTTACCAAAAAAAAAAAAAAATTTAATATTTTAAAGTTTTATAATTTCGTCCAACTTCGTGTTGTAGAATTCATCTTCATAAATGTCAAGAAAAAGATAAATTTTTTTTATTTATGAAAAAAAATTGTTCATGCGCAATTTAATTAATGATTTTCGGGATGCTATAGAAAATAATTCTGTTTAGTAAGAAAGAACCCAAAATTGTCATTAAATAATGATCAGTAGCCAGCCTTTAGTTTTTTTGTTGTAATTCTAATAGATAAAAAATAAAAAAATTGTAATGAACATATATATAATGGTAACTAAATTACCTTTTACATTATCTGTAAACTTCTATTTATTAGGTTAGAAGATTTCGTTATTGAAGTATTATAAAAATAAAATTTTAAATTTTACTCACTTATTCATATTATTATATCAAATAATTTTTATCCAAACGTAAATTCTGATATTTCACTTTGACTCTTTTGTCTGCGGTGGGGTCTATTTTTTTTAAAAAAAAATTCTAAAGAAAAAGAGAATACTCTTGATCAAAATGGGACGAAATTCCAAGTCAATATGCTCAACTAACCAACATTGGATAGTAATTGGAATATGATAGAATGGATACCTTATTTTATATTACAAGGTATTAAAGAGATAGAAACGGTGGATTTATTTAGCTACTTGGATTGATTTTCAGATGTACTGAAATTTTTAATCATAATAATGTTATAAAAGCTGCTTATATTATTTTGGAACAATCTTGTGTTAGGGTCAAAAATAATATTTCGATATAAAAAATTACACGTAGCATTTGTTTTATAACCTAAAGGTTCGAAATTAAAAGTTATAAAATGAAAGTCTCTCATGCTTTGTAACCAATTAAATCGTAAGATCACAAATCACCAGTGGTTTAATTTGCACTGTCCTTAAAAAAATTTCATCATCATCCTCCCTGACAGAGTCTTTATTTATTATTATTAATATTATTTTTTTATCATCACATCCACCATCTACTAATGATAATTTTTATTCACTATCATTAGAATTTTAAAATGTACCTTCGATTTCATCAATTTTTCTGTTTTCCGCGATATTGTAATTCATATAACACTGAATCCTAGCTTCTTGATATAATTCATTTCTTTTTTTATTTATCATTCAATTTATAACAATTGATTTACAATCAATATTAAAATTTCCTATTAATTTCTTTAATTCATTTATGTTCAACTTATTTGTTAAACCAATGATAAAATTTTTTGATTCTAAAAATTTTTATTTTGTTTCTTGCACTAATAATAATATAATCAGAATTAGCAGAAATTTTATTTCACTTAACATATATATCGTGTAACATTTTATGAAATAACTATAATAATTTATTTTAAATGATTTACAATACGCCAACCTTCTCTATAAAGAACTAATTGTGGCACAATGAGTAATATAAATTACATAAATTTTTTTTATATTAAGTGGGATTTACGGTATAAATTGGTATAATTCATTTGTCAATTTAATGATTATTTAATAATGTCTCTCGAAAAGAAAAATAAAAAAGAAAGGGAAGCTTGGATAGAAAATTTGACTATTGAAGATACTTTTCGAAAAGAAAATATCCCATTTTATCAAAATTCTGAATTTGAAGATGTAGAATTAATTCGTAGAAATGTTTATAAAGCCACTTTTAAAACTTCTCGAATAACTGTTGCTCTTAAATGCATTTCGTTAAATAATAAATTAATACTAGACAATTTAATAAATGAAGTAAGCTGAATTAATCTATTTTTATTCCATTATTTGAATATTTTTTACTATTTCTAATTATTTTTAATCGAAAAGATTAAGAGATATCAAAAATTGGAAATGCATGAAATTATTTTTAGATTTTATGGTATTACTATCCAAGGTAATATAAAAATTTTTAAATTTCTAACTGAATAGTTATAAACAAACATTATTAATTTATGTGATTTTCGCAGAGAATATTTACATGATAATTCTTGACTACGGTAATAACGGTTCTCTTCGTCAATATTTAAAAATAAATTTTCAAAAACTTGATTGGAATGCAAAATTAAATATCGCAAAACAAATTGCCAATATTTTGGAATTTCTACATTCGAATGACTTTGTTCATGGAAAATTGGTAATTATTTTCGTTTTTAAGAATTTAAAAAACTAAATTACACAATGACATATTTTTAATTTTTTTTATTTTATAATAAAATAGAATTCTGAAAAATTTCATATTCATAATGGGAGTATTAAATTAAATGTCTTTGGACTAACGAAAATTATGTCTGAATCTTTGAGATTCCCAACAAATACTTTTAGTCAATATGTTGACCCTCAATATTTGGAAATTTTTAACAAAATTGATAAAAATAAGAGTTCAGATATTTTTAGTTTGGGAATTATTCTATGGGAAATTTCTAGTGGCACTCCTCCTTTCGATATAGAATCTTTGTCAAATTTTGATTTGTTAAATAACATCGTAAAAGGAAAAAGAGAAATAGTTACGCCAGGAACACCTTTTAAATACAAAGAAATATATACTGGTAAAATTATTGATATTACAATTTATTAAATTATTTACATTTATTACATAATAAAATTATATAAAATGTAACTGTTTGACAGATTGCTGGAAACACAATGGGAATTCACGACCAGACATTTCTCAAGTAGTTAAAAATCTTAACGAAATCATTATACCTGATGCAAGTATTGAAAATGAAGCTTCTGAATTACAACTTCATAATGTTACGGATGAAATTACTTCAGTTAAATTGGGAAAATTAAAAATGTAAGTTATATTTTTATATTTTTTGAATGCTTGGAAATATTTAATAATTCTATAATTCTCTTTATTAAGACAAAAGATTGAACCAAAAGTTCATTCAGATCCTCCCCTTGTCAATAAATCAGCAGAATTTGAAGTTTTTATTAAGGATTTATTTCAATTTTTTTTTGGTATCATTAAAAAACAGTATGTACAATCGCAACCAATTTTGATGAAAAATTATATTAAAGAGCATAAAAAGAATCCAGTTAAAGTTCTATATGAAATGATTAGCCATCCATCACATTCCTGGTTCACTAGCATGATAGGATTTTTTTACAAGAATGGAATTGGGACTGTTACTGACAACAAAATGGCATTTGAATTCTTTAGTATAGCTTCCAATAAAATAATTGATGCCTCACTCTCGAATTCACCATCCTTAATGAAACTATACAATATTAACAAAGAAATAGGAACCATGCTTTTTGCAGATATGTATTTCTTTGGCATGGGCGTTGAAAAGGATTTGAAAACGGCATATTATTTTTATTTTAAACTTGTTAATGAAGGGTCCTTTATTATAGCTTTAGTTGAAGTAGCAGATTGCTATTTATATGGATTTGATGGTGAAAAAAAACCAGAAAAAGCATTTAATTTATATTTAAAATCTGCAGAAAAAGGGCTTCCTGCAGCACAAAGTAGTGTTGGTTGCTGCTACAAAGATGGAATTGGAACGCCAAAAGATGCAGCTAAAGGATTCCAGTGGTTCATTAAATCTGCGTTTGCTGGAAATATTTCTTCGATGTGTGAAGTTGGGTATTGTTTTAGCAATGGTATAGGTGTGGATAGAAATTATCAAAAAGCATTAAAATGGTATTTAAAGGCAGCTGAAAAAGGAGAATCTAGGGCTCAATATTTTTTAGGAAATTGTTATCAAAATGGTTATGGGGTTAATGAGAATCAAGTGAAAGCATTTGAATGGTATAAGAAAGCTGCAGAATGCAATCACATTTATGGGC